CTCCCCCCGCTCGCCCCCGCACCCGCCGATGTCATCGTCCATCGCGATGTTTCACTGTAGACATCGTCCGATGTCAATTTTGTAGACATTGCCCAACCCTAATGCATAGCTCTATAGATAAAGCAGCCTTGTGTTTTGACGCTTCCTTTTACATTATGTAGGTGTTGATGCAGGCTTTGAGAGATTTCAACATGCCAAAGATCGTTTCGGAAGACGTTCCAGTGTTCCTGGGTCTGATTAGAGATTTGTTCCCTGGTTTGGAGGTGGAAAGGCGGACTGATGCAGAGTTTGAGCTGATAGTCCGTCAGACGAGTCTAGAGTTAAAGCTTCAACCTGAGGACACGTTCGTTCTGAAAGTAAGAAACTCTCTGCACAGTGTGTCATTAAATTGTTTAGCATTAAGTTATCATACTGTTTTAGATTCCTTGCTAACCTCTTATTTTTTAATGCAATTTTTAATGAAGGTTGTTCAGCTTGATGAGCTTCTATCTGTTCATCACTCAGTGTTTGTGGTTGGTGATGCTGGGACTGGAAAAAGCCAGGTCAGAACACAGTCTACATGAATACAAACCTGTTTCTCACTGTCCACTTTCCCTGATGTTTTAAATGAATCCACTAATTACTTGTATTTTGTGTTCTTATAATGTAAAATATCGCTCTATTCGATTATGACATTTTGCCTGATAATTAATTGTCGTGCAAACAAATTATTTGCCAGTTTTGTGGACAGTTATTTTATAGATTTTTTTTTTTCACTTTCATGGTTTTGTAAACATATTGTACAGGTGTGAAATCATTTATATTGTTCTGTAGTTATATATTCATTATTTGTGCTAAATTCTTTGGTTTTACTAGAATCCAGCAATCGGAATATTATGAAATAATTAAAGTTTATTGTATATTGTTATTTATTAATTGATTAATTGATATATTTTTTATAATGATATGAATGTTTCTCGCACTTTAGAATGTCTCTGTTTATGTTGTCTTTTTTGATCTCTCAGCTCCATGATTCTCGGGCTGAGTTCAGTCAGTGGTGGATCAAAGAGATGAAGAGTGTGAAGTTTCCTGTACAGGGTTCTGTGTTTGACTACTATTTAGATCCTCATTCCAGACGCTTCCTGCCATGGACCGACAGGATGCTCATGTTTGAGATGGACCCTGATACACCTGTACAGGTGAGGACAGGATCATGTATTGCAGGAAGCTGAAGTCTAAATTTGATGTAGGAACACTCTGAATACATTAATACTTCCTGTTACATACAGAATAACATGTTGTGAACATATTCATTACAACACAATATACTTCTTTGTGATCCACTGAGAAAATTCTCCTGAGAAAATTCACTCTCACAGAGAACTACTTTAATTTCAGAATAATGGCATGCTAATTTAGTGCAGTTAGTGCATTAGAGTGGGTCAGTGAACAGATACAGAGAAAACAACCTCCCTCCATCATGAGCTGAACCTACAGTCAGAGGAGTTTTGGATCTGATTACCGTTCAAAGTAATCAGAATTATGCGTGTGTGTGGGGCCATTGTCTCTGTTTTTATTCTTGGAAGATAAAGACGTAATGTTGATAATAGGGTAGTCATAGTGATGAACTGGGCCTACAGGTTTGTCGTGTCTCATTGCAGAACTATATTCTAAAAGTTCACTCAAAATGCTCTTGCAAAGTATCCCACAGCCTTTTCTGAAATACAAGTATTTATACTGATTTAATTGTGTAAATGTTTTTATACTTTTTTTTTTGTACAATGGGTCTACAAAATTCTCACCACCAATTATACATTGGATAAATTATATATACACCACTGTTTTTGAAAGAAGTGATTTGGTGCTCAAGAAAAAAAAGTATTATTATAATCAGTGTTGAAAGCATTGTGCTGCTCTTTGTGAAAACTGTGATACATTTTTTTTATATATATATTTTGATGGAAAGAAAGTTCTAAAGAACAGCATTTTTTAAATAGAAATCTTTTGAAAGATAGACAGATAGATAGATAGATAGATAGATAGATAGATTTTATAGTGTTATTTATAGACTTATTTATAGTGTTATTTGTTGATTTAGATAAGCTGAATATGACTTGAGTAATCAAATGCCCCCCTTTTTTGTCTACAGTCTGTGTTAGTCCCAACAGTTGAGACGGTCAGACTGCAGTATTTCATGCGCATGTTATTGGAGACATCTCAGCCTCTTATGCTGATTGGTGGAGCAGGCACTGGGAAATCTGCTCTGGTCAGGAACCTTCTGGAAACACTACCGGAGAACCTTATAACCGCGAAAGTTCCCCTTCACTTTCATATCACTGCATCCATGCTGCAAAGTGAGTGTGACAGAGTGCATTTCATCACATTTTTCTAAAATGTCTTCCGATGTGTAGAACAGCACCTCCTTGTGGTCCATATGACAAATTTCATTTCATCTGGTTATAATAATAATAGAAATAACAGTTAGTCCAGTGATTTCATCCAAGTGCTCCTCAGGGTGTACTTGAATTGATGTTGAGTAAATGTTTGCTTTATTAAACCTTTAAAACAAACAAAAAAAGTTTTTAGTAGGTCTGAACAGCATGAGACAGATGGATTTGTTCATACATATCAAGCCATACAAATTTTAGACAAAAAAATTCTGCTCTTATGGACTGATAGGAATATTTAAAATGTATCCCAGAAGTTTATAACACTATGTAAAATGTGAATTTCACTTGTACTAGTTATAGGATTTCTTTGAAAATGATGCCTTATGCAAATTTGTAGTCAGTTCTTTTAAAACAATGCTTTTTATTTTTATTATCAGAGGCAATGGAGAAACCTCTCGAAAGGAAGGCTGGCAGGAGTTACGCACCCCCGAGAAACAAGAGACTCATCTATTTCATCGATGACATGAACATGACAGCTGTGGACAGTTACGGGACCTCTCAGCCACACGCTCTCATTCGCCAGCATCTGGATTACAAGCACTGGTTACGCAACATCAACGTTTCTTTCATTTATTCCACTTAAGGGAGATATTACTTGTCAAAACACTCTCTAACAATTTTATGTCTTGTTTCTAGGTATGACAGTCACAATTTAACAATGAAAGACGTACACAACACCCATTATCTCTCTTGTATGAATCCAACATCGGGGAGTTTTACAATTAACCCCAGACTGCAGGTATTTGAATTTCTTTTGTGGGAGCTTCTTTATTGCACATTGTTGTGTAGCATTCAGAACAGAATATAAACTTTTTGTCATACCATATATTTCGCATTTACAAATATTATTAATAATCATTAATCGTCAATTTCTATACCACCTATAGAAATGTGTATTAATATGTATTTGTGATACTAAAAAAATCAAATAAATAAATAAATAAATATCCTGTATGTAATAAATAAATAATGCCATATATTTCCATAAAATTCCATAAAATATCATGGGCAGTTTGTGGTGCTGTATTTTTCACAGTTTAGAATAACTTGAATATTAATTTCATATATACAAGTTAATATATTATAATTAAAGTATATACATTTTTTGTATTAATATATTAAACATGAATTTGACATATTAGGAGATAATTAGGCATAATTAGTCAACAATTTATGTTATGTAACAAAATGTCTTGGTTATATATGTAACCTTTGTTCCCTGATGGAGGGAACGGAGACGTTATGTCGTGACGACATAGGGGGTTTACTTGAGAGCCCCAATCCGCTCTGACATTCAGAGAAAATGGCAATGAATTTTGGCTAGTGGATTTTGCATACCTGAGCCACTCCCCGTGCATACAGATATAAATAGGCGACAGGTGCATGAACTCATTCAGGTTTTACGCTGAAGAGCAGAGAACGTATCCCTGGCAACCAGCAATGGTTCGAGGTTGTGGCATGGGGACATAACATACGTAACCGAGACGTTCACTCGGTTACGATCTGTCGGTCACTACGAGTTATGTCGTGACGACATAGGGGGTCCATGGAAAGCGCCACAACCTGAACTCTGTCACAACCCTGTAGCACTGCAAATGTTGACAAGCAGCCACATGTCAGACAAATGCTACGCAAAGGTCGCAACCTTCCCAACGCCCCAGCGCAAATTCGCTGACCTTGGCGCCCGCAGGGATCAAAAGGTGAGTACATCGCTGCTGGAGATAGCCAAGCCGCTGTTTCTATGACAGAAATGTTTTTCTTAAGAGAAGGGATTTTGACTTTCATGAAAGGTGCTTCACGGGCGCTACGGAGACCACATCCTGCCTGGGGTTTACTTGAGAGCCCCAATCCGCTCTGACATTCAGAGAAAATGGCAATGAATTTTGGCTAGTGGATTTTGCATACCTGAGCCACTCCCCGTGCATACAGATATAAATAGGCGACAGGTGCATGAACTCATTCAGGTTTTACGCTGAAGAGCAGAGAACGTATCCCTGGCAACCAGCAATGGTTCGAGGTTGTGGCATGGGGACATAACATACGTAACCGAGACGTTCACTCGGTTACGATCTGTCGGTCACTACGAGTTATGTCGTGACGACATAGGGGGTCCATGGAAAGCGCCACAACCTGAACTCTGTCACAACCCTGTAGCACTGCAAATGTTGACAAGCAGCCACATGTCAGACAAATGCTACGCAAAGGTCGCAACCTTCCCAACGCCCCAGCGCAAATTCGCTGACCTTGGCCCCCGCAGGGATCAAAAGGTGAGTACATCGCTGCTGGAGATAGCCAAGCCGCTGTTTCTATGACAGAAATGTTTTTCTTAAGAGAAGGGATTTTGACTTTCATGAAAGGTGCTTCACGGGCGCTACGGAGACCACATCCTGCCTGTAGGGAGGTATCATACGGAGACACTGATATGGACTGACCCAGGCCTGGGGCAGTACTACATATGGAATAGTCTCTGAGTCAGGTCCTACCTAGGAGTAGGGAGGAACGGCTGCCAGCAGAGACTGACAGAGTGGTCTGTCAAAGGGAAGACACGGGTTCACCGAGAGGGAAACCTTACCGTGGAAAAATACACATATAAGATCGCCCGCAGGCAATCAAGCCATATGGACACCTAGCCCAGTAAAGGGACTGACCGGAAACCCGGGCAAGCTAACACCGATACTGGGCCTAGGGACTGCTCTGCCCAGTCTGACTGCCGGGGGTGCTGGAGGATACTCAACCAGGGTTTGCCGACTGGGGAACTTACTGGAGGAGGAAAAGGCACTCACATCCCCGGGTGAGGGGGAATGGCGCAGCAAGCGTGACACCGGCCGGCTCTTCCCGCCACTTAACAGTTACCCAACACACGGGAAGAAACCGTTTCAATGCGGAGACTGTAAAATCTCACGAAGGTGTTCGGTGTCGCCCAGCCCGCAGCTCTACAGATGTCTGCCAGAGAGGTGCCGTGCGCCAGCGCATAGGAGGCAACACTCCGTGTGGAGTGAGCCCTCACCCCCAGGGGGTACGGCTCGCCTTGGGAATGGTAGGCCAAGGCGATAGCATCCACTATCCAGTGGGCCAACCTCTGCTTGGAGATAGCATTCCCTTTCTGCTGACCTCCGTAGCAGACAAAGAGCTGCTCAGAGCTTCTCAAACTCTGGGTGCAGTCCACGTATATGTGCAACGCTCTGACGGGACACAGCAACGCCAAGGCTGGATCTGCCTCCTCCGAGGGTAGTGCTTGCAGGTTCACCACCTGATCGCAAAAGGGCGTGGTGGGAATCTTGGGCACGTATCCAGGCTGGGGTCTCAGGACAAAGTGAGAGTAGGCCACTTCGGGGGTCTTCTTGGTGAGAAGAACACCAATTCACGAACAGACTCCACTTCAGAGCATAGGCTTGCCTCGTCGAGGGAGCTCTAGCCTGAGTGATCGTGTTTACCACCGCCGGTGGCAGATCATTTAAGTCTGCTGCATTCCGTCCAGGAGCCACACATGGAGGTCCCAGAGATCTGGACGCGGATGCCATTTGGTGCCGAGCCCCTGAGAAAGGAGGTCCTTCCTCAGAGGGATGCACCAGGGAGGGGCTGTTGCGAGGACCATGAGTTCCAAAAATCAGGTCCAGGTGGGCCAGTAAGACCTGTTCCTCGTCCCAAACTCTGGGTGCAGTCCACGTATATGTGCAACGCTCTGACGGGACACAGCAACGCCAAGGCTGGATCTGCCTCCTCCGAGGGTAGTGCTTGCAGGTTCACCACCTGATCGCGAAAGGGTGTGGTGGGAACCTTGGGCATGTATCCAGGCCGGGGTCTCAGGACAACGTGAGAGGAGGCCGGCCCGAACACAAGGCACTCTTCGCTCACCGAAAATGCTTGGAGGCCCCCGACCGTCTTAATGGAAGTGAGCGCGGTCAGGAGCGCTGTCCAGCGGCTCAAATGGATCCCTCTGAAGGCCAGCCTGGACAGTAGAGAGATCCCAGGAGGGCACCAAGGGTGGCCTAGGCAACCTTCTGGCACCCCTCAGGAACCTGATGATGAGATCGTGCGATAGCAGCCACATACACTTTCAAGGTGGAGGGTGACAGCCTACGCTCCAACCTTTCTTGCAGGAAAGAAAGCACTACTCCAATCGTGCATCTTTGGGGGTCTTCTCGGCGAGAAGAACACCACTTCATGAACAGACTCCACTCCAGAGCATAGGCTTGCCTCATCGAGGGAGCTCTAGCCTGAGTGATCATGTTTACCACCGCCGGTGGCAGATAACTTAAGTCTGCCACGTCCCGTCCAGGAGCCACACATGGCTGTCCCAGAGATCTGGGCTCACTGGGGGAAACGCATACTTGCGTAGAGCCCGAGGCCAGTTGTGTGCCAGTGCATCCGTGCCGAGGGGGGCCTCGGTCAGGGAGTAATACAGCTGGCAGTGGGAGGACTCGTGGGAAGCAAACAGGTCTACCTGGGCTTCCCCGAATCGACTCCAGATCAGCCGGATCTCGGCATGGAGTCACCATTCTCCGGGGAATGTGAGATGTCGTGAGAGTGCGTCGGCTGCACGATTGAGCTCCCCCAGAATGTGGACGGCGCGCAGCGACTTGAGCCACGTCTAACTCCAGAGGAGGAGATGACGGGTGAGCTGTGACGTGATTGTAGACCACCCTGCCGGTTGATGTACGAAACAGCCGCAGTGTTGTCCGTGTGGACCAACACGTGCTTGTCTTGCAGTAATGGCCGGACCTGCCGCAAAGCCAGATGCACTGCCAACAGCTCTAGGCAATCGATGTGCCAAAGCAGTCGAGGCCCTGTCCAGAGCCCCGAGGCTGCCTGCCCGTTGCATGTAATGCCCCAACCCGTACTGGAGGCATCCGTCGTGACAACGACATGCCAGGACACTTGTTCTAAGGACACCCGGCCCGGAGAAAGGCAAGGTCTGTCCAGGGGCTGAATAGGCGGCGACACTCCGGTGTGATGGTCACACGAAGTGTACAGTAACGCCATGCCCATCTCGGGACTCAGGAGTGTAACCAGTGCTCATATGAAGCAATCCGAGCGGCGTAACTGCGGCTGCGGATGCCATATGCCCCAGGAGCCTCTGAAAGCGTTTCAGAGATACCACGTTCCTGCCTCTGAAGGAACTCAGGCAGTTCAGCACTGACTGGGCGTGCTCGTTGGTGAGACGCGCTGTCATACTCACCGAGTCTAACTCCATACCAAGAAAAGAGATCTTCTGCACGGGGGAGAGTTTGCTCTTTTCCCAGTTCACCCGAAGCCCCAACTGACTGAGGTGCCAGAGCACCAGGTCCCTGTAATCGCACAACTGCTCTCGTGACCAGCCCATGATGAGCCACTCGTTGAGGTAGTTGAGGATCCTGATGCCCACTTCCCATAACGGGGCAAGGGTGCCCTCCGCGACCTCCTTCAGATCGACCGCTGCAAACCAATCGTGGGGCTGGATGCTTCTGATGATGCGCTTCTGCGTCAACATCTTGAATGGGAGCTTGTGAAGGGCCTGATTCAAGACACGCAGATCCAGGATTGGCCGAAGGCCACCGCCTTTCTTGGGCACGATGAAGTAAGGGCTGTAAAACCCTGACTTCATCTCGGCTGGAGGAACAGGCTCGATTGCGTCCTTCGCCAGTAGGACAGCAATCTCGTCGCGCAGGACAGGGCATTCGAGCTGCCACCGAAGTCTTGAGAACGCCGCTGAACCTGGGGGGTCGCCTAGTGAACTGAATCGTGTAGCCGAGTTGAACTGTCCGAAAGAGCCAGCGGGACGGGTTGAGCAGCGCAAGCCATGCTTCCAAGCTCCGTGCGAGTGGCACCAAAGGGACAATCGACGCACCCGCTGTGGTGCAGCAGTGGGAAGTAGTGCTGGATGGAGCAGAAGGCATCGCTTCCTGGCCCATCACAGCAGGACTCCCCGTGTACCCGGAGGGACTGGCCAGAGATGAGTGGAGAGGCAGCGCGTCTCCGAGCCGCGATCTCTTGCTGCTGGGAAAAGTCCTCGACAGTGTCGCCGAATAGGGCAACCTGTGAGATGGGAGTGTCACGAAAGTGCACTTTGTCGACATCTCTAATTTCAGCGAGGTTAAGCCAAAGATGGCGCTCTTGGGCCAAAAGCGTGGACATCACCTTCCCGAGGGACTGTGCCGCGACTTTTGTCGCCCGGAGGGCGAAGTCAGTTGCCGTGTGCAGTTCCTGCATCAACCCGGGTCAGAACTACCCTCGTGCATTTGTTTCAGTGCCTTGGCTTGGTGGACCTGCAGGATAGCCATGGCATGCAGGGCAGAGGTGGCCTAGCCCGCAGCATCAAAAGCTTTGGCTGCAAGAGCAGCCGTCAACTTACAGGCTTTGGATGGGAGACAGGTGCACCGCAACCGCTCTCTCCACCTGGGGAATGTCTACGTACCCCCTAGCCACCCCGCCATCGAGGGTAGTGAGGACGGAGGAGGGAGACGAGCCGCCCTCGGCTTCGTCAGCTCCTCATGCACCTCCGGAAAAAAGGCACCAGCGCCCCGCGCCGAGAAACCAATCATCCAACCGCTGGGTCTCGTGACTGGGCAGCGTGTTCACCTTCAGCCCGATACTCATGGCTGCCCGGGAAAGCATGGCCGTCAACTCAGGGTCCGATTCGGTGGTGGCGACAACACCCTAGGGGGGCAGCCCCACCGAATCTTCATCCTCGGAGGACGATAGCTCATCCCCCGAGAGAGTGGCGAGATCGCAGCGAAGTCATGCTCATACGCTCGCAATGAACACATGAGTCATCCACGAATGCAGCTTCAGCATGTTGGATGCCCAGACACTGAAGGCAACACTGATGGCCATCGACAGAGGACAGGTAACGACCGCAACCAAGAGAACACGGACGGAACGGCATCATTAAAAAGATGCGAGCCATCCGTGATGAGAAACTGCTCTTTTAATTGAAGCACCCAGGGGAATCGCTGAATCAACAGGGACACCGCTGTTTGTGCCGTCACGCCAACCAGGAACAGCTTCTTTCTTCCAGTCAGATCAGAAAGGCTTTGTGGAGAAGAAATCATTCACCCACTCGGCTCCGAAGCAAAAATCTGAATGAGTGGATGCACCTGTCGCCTATTTATACCCGTATGCACGGGATGTGGCTCAGGTATGCAAAATCCACTAGCCAAAATTCATTGGCGTTTTCTCTGAAAGTCAGAGCAGATTGGGGCTCTCAAGTAAACCCCCTATGTCGTCACGACATAACTCATAGTGACCGACAGATAGGGAACTGTGTTGGAGTAATGAAATTTAAGCAATTTTACTAAAGCAATTTAGTAATTTTCTCTTTTAATCTTAATTCAGCATCTCCCACCAATTAAATTCTGACTAAATTTTGAACTCTGTTCCATACGCAATGCACTGATTAAAAAAATGCAGAATTATATGAAAATATATTGTAGTAAAAAAAGGGTTGCACTTCTTATTTGTACTTACAGTGTACTTACAGTGTACATACAGTGTACAGTTCTGGTAATATAAGGTAACTACACGGGGTAGGTTCAAGGTTGGTACCTAGTTATTGTAATTACTATAATAAGTACATAGTATGTACATGAGGAAGAGGACTGTAAAATAAAGTGCTACCAAAAAAAAAGTGTAGTGTAAAAAAAGTTGATTGTTTGTTATATAATATGAAATTGTGTTTGAGAGACATCACTGACAAATCTTCACCTTAATTTTCATCAGAGGCATTTCACAGTGTTAGCGTTCAGCACACCCAGCTGTGAGACCCTCAGCTCCATCTTTGGCTCTATCCTGAGCTTCCACCTGCAGAGGTTGCGGTTCAGCCCAGCTGTGGTGAGGAGTGCTCCAGCTGTGGTGAAAGCGGCTGTAGCCCTCCATAACAGGGTGCTCCAGCACTTCCTCCCCACCTCTATAAAGTTTTACTATTTCTTCAACCTGTGGGATCTCTCTCGACTGTTCCAGGTTAAACATTCCCTCTGTGCTCAGTAATTTAAACTGTAAATATCTTGAATTAGCCAACATTTTGTACCTGTGTTTGTATGTGCATCTAGGGTCTCCAGTTCTCCAGGCCAGAGTGTGTTAGACAGGGTGCAGATCTGGTTCGACTTTGGATCCATGAATCCAGAAGAGTATATTCAGATCGCTTTTCTGAAGCATCTGACATTCAGCTTTTCCATAGGCTGCAGGCGGACATCGCACGACAGGCCTTGGAGGTAAACCAGCAAAATAACATGTTTACTGCTGTGAAAGGCCTCAATGAATCAGCATCTTTCACAAAAAAAAAAACAACAACTGGAAGGCCTTATTATTTTATTCAAATTTTTTATTTTCTTTGTTTTCTGTTTTATGAAAAAAATTGCGCAATGGAATAAGAAATACACCAAAAACATTTATTTATAAATATAAAAAACAACAACAATATTTTAAGTAATAAAATGAAATAAAATAAGTAAATAAATGTATAATTGTAGTTAAAGTATAATAATGTTATATTTAAAAACAAACAAATAAATAAAAAAATAATTAATTAATTAATTACTCCTTTGTTAAAAATAAGATGGATTAGAAATATTCCAAATATATATATA